AAACAGTTTGTCCCCAGCATCCCTCGAGAAGCTCGTGTACATACACTGGAACATGCAGTTGCTGCGAGCTCGACACCACAAGGACAGCGGGTTCGCTGATGTCTAGGATTCGTTCTTCGAGCCAATCATGGAGCCAGAACAGAATGACGGGTCGACGCTGGCGACTGGCACTCAGGATGCTGCTGAAAAAGAGGATGAGGAGATGAGGCAAAGAAACATGGTGAAGGCTCCAAAAAACAGGATCCCCCAAAACCTTCTCGATTCCGACACTAGTGACAGCAGCGACCTCGAGGATATGGTGTGGAAGGGGAAGTGCTGGAACGAGTCATCATCGGAGGACTGCAGCGAGGACGAGGACTCCGATTTCGAGCTCGGTGTGGTGCCTGCAGTCCCAGCGACCACGTATGTCGGCAGGCGAACCAGGGCACAAGACAGGGAGCTCGAGCTTGAGCCTATGCCGGTCGTCGAGAGAGTGGACACGGACGTAGAGTTTTTGCTGCACCGCCACGATGACCCGAATGAGGAAGAGGCCACCCGTGCAAAGGAGATGGCGGACAGGGATCGTGAACTTGTGGAGAGGGGGGTCGCTGAGGAGGAGGCCCGTCGTGCAGCGATCCCTACACGCAGGGAGAGGGAGAGGAATGCTGCACAGCAGGAAAAGCACGGGGGCGAGGCCCTGAAGGAAATGGACGGGGATGTCCAGCCTGCCGTGGAGAAGGGCGAGCAGCAGCAAGGGGAGCCTGCACACGCACCGGAAGAACAGCAAGCACCAGTTGCCGTGTACACGCGCAGGCTCCGTCCATGCGTGGAGCAACAAGTCGGAGAGGAGGGAGAGACCACCGACCAGCAGGTTGCAATTGGCGAGAGGGGGAAGGAGCAGCTGGAAGAGCAGCAGGCCGCAGAGGACATCGGCACGCCCCCTTTCCCTGAATTGAACGATGCTCTCCACCATGACAACCTCTGGAAGAGCAGGGCAGGCAGGAAGAGGAAGGCAACAGCGGACTCCCCCGAAGCGCCCCGACGCGGCCGTGGAAGCCCCAGAAAAAAAAAGGCAGTGGACAAGACTGCGTTGCAGCACGGGCGCCGCAACGCTAATGCTCGCAAGAAGCGTGTCATTAGTGACGATGACCCGGACAGTGACGACAGTCCCCCGCGGTCACTTGATGGGGGGATGAGCCCATGCCACTCCGATTAAGGGATCAAGGGACAGTTGTGTGTTTGTGTGTGTGTGTGTGTGTGTGTGTGTGTGTGTGTGTGTGTG